AAATTTTTTTTCTGTTTTCCTTGTACAAAACGACGTCGTTTTGTAATTGGCGACCAAATTTTTTTTGTCGCCAAAAAATTCCATTTCCCCCCTCCATGTTTCAAATTTCCCTCCCCAACTTTTGGCGACCAAAACACCATATTAGTCGCAAAAAAGGTACCTTCGCTAACAAACTTTTTTAGTCGCCAAATCTTGATCAACGACGACTAAAATATTAGTCGCTAAAAGTATTAATTTGGCGACTAATTTTTTTTGGTCGCCAAAATGTAACCTTTCGCGACCAAATTTGTTGTTGGTCGCCAAAAGCATACCAATTTCTGCGACTAACTAATTTTTGTTCGCCAAAATTTGACCTTCTGCGACCAACTCATATTTGGTCGCCAAAAATATGGATTATTCGCGACAAATTAAAATTTGGTCGCCAAATGTTATTTTTTTGCGACCAAAATTTTTTTGGTCGGCAAATGTGTAAATTCTTGTAGTGTAAGGTCTTTTGGTTATGCTTGAAATTATAACAATGTCATAACCAATCTCTCTCTTCTATTTATTTTTAAAAAATTCCTACACTTTTTTAAAAATGTTTGGCTATGTTTGGTTTTGGATTAAAATAATCACAAAAAGATAAAATAAGTTAAAAATTAATAAGACAAAATATCACATTCAAACCATAATTGTTTTATTTTTTTCTTTCATAAAAGTCAAAAAAATCAAAAAACCTAATCCAAACAAGACTTTTTAGCCTTAGACTAAAATAATCAAAAATTTAAAAAGTCAATTCACATCCTAAACAAAGGCTATATTATTGCAAATTCTCATTTAATTTTAATTTTTTTTTCCATAAAACAGAATGATTGCTTGGAAGTTTAGATGCCGTTTGGTAACACTTACGTTTTCAGTTTTCTGTTTATATTTATAAAAATTTAAAAAACTCAAATAAAAACTTGTTTGATAAAATTTTTGATTTATAAATCAGTGGTCTCAGTTTATAAATTTGGCCAAAAAATGAAAACACAAAAAATGTGTTTCCGTTTTTAGTTTTCAGTTTTTTTTTTTTTTTACCACCCAACTCACCACCTGCCACCATTTTCCACTACCGTCTTCCACCACTACCACCCACCTCCCACCACCACCACCTGTCACCACCACTCACCAGCCACCTCCCACCACCCGCACCCACCAGCCACCCATTCGTCACTACCCACCCCTCGCCACCACCATCACCACCACCCACCACCCACCTGCCATCCCGAAGTCTGCTGACGGTTGTAGAGGCGGAAGAATGGTGGAAATTGCACCGGAGGTGGTAAACGAAGCAAGTTGTAGAACTCAGAAAGCTTGAGCAATGACGGATTTGAGGAAAAAAGCCAGAGAGAGAAAAAGCTAAAGGATTGAACAAAAAAGTGAAACGACGAAGAGAGGGAAAAACGTTTTTGTTAAAACTTGAAACGGCGGTAAACGAAATTAATGCGCCTAAAACAACGTGAGCTTCAGACGGCGCACGCATGCGCGAGACGATTTAGAAGCGCGTCACAAGCACGATCCAGTAAGAGGAAAGTACGTGGCTGGGAATGGTTGAGTTGTTGTGCACGACAGCTCATATGCGTAAGAAGAGCTCTTGGAATTCTTGATCTTTAAGAAGACAACAAGCTCGGTTTAAGCCGATGTACTGGCAAAAAGTACCGATATAGGTTCCATCACCTCAAAATGCCGAGGTAATAGAACCTAGGGGGCAGTTGTGGGAGATATTTTCTGAGTCCCAATTTTAGTCGGCAACTACCACCTACCACCCGCCACTGTCACCCACTCACCTACCACCACCAGCCATCCGCCACCCACCTGCCACCACCACCCACCACTACCACCACCACCACCACCACCCACCAGCTACCCACCACCCACCGTCACCACCGTCTTCTGCCGTCACTTGCCACCACTCGCCATTTCTCACTGTTTTTTATATTTTAATTTTTTTAAAAATATTTTGTCAATTACCAAACGCGTTTGTAGTTTATGTTTTTCAAAAAATAAACAAAAAATAAACAAAAATCAGTTTATAAAATTTTTATAAATATAAACTGAAAATTTAAACGTTACCAGACACACCCTTAATGTTTACTAGTATTGTTTTTATTTTTATGTTGAACACGTGAGTTAAATATGCAATGTGTTTATTTTTCATTTGATGAAATGACCTAAATATTAAAAAAAAAAAATGCTTGAGAGCTCTAAAATATGAGCTCTATCCATTGATGTGAAATGACCTAAATATTAAAAAAAAAAATGTTTGAGAGCTCTAAAATATGAGCTCTATCCATTGATGTGATGTATTGATTTTGATTTTTTTTTTCAAATTTTCACATTATTAGAGCTCAATTAAAATTTTAAAATTAAGAAATGTGTTGTGTGGGTGATTTTCCGACCACACTGCCCGCTTAGTAATCAGCTGGAGAGCACTGGCAGAATAGATGGCACCTGACTGACCTGCAACAGAAATATAAGAATCCCGCGGTGGTTTCGACCACCCGGGGGCACTCCGACGATCAAGTCAGTATATCTCTCAAAGATAAATCAAGTACTAAACTCACAAGCTTGAGTATCAAAAAAACATACCTTAGACCCATGGGGGTGCCTCTCTTTTATAGCCAATCCAATCCTAGTCCCAATAGGAGCCTGGCCCTAATGGACTTAGGATTACTGCTAATCTGGGACTCCCAGTGGGATTAGGATAAACTCTCTAAGAGTCTTATCTTTGCCCAAACTGGAGTCTTCTCCCAATCTAGGACTCTTGTCCATATCCAAGTTGAGTTCCCTCTTCATTCTAGGACTCTTGTCCCTTATTCGCTTATCTCGGATTCCGATATCTTCGGAGGCAACCTCGGCCTAGCCGAGATCACCTCGGCGTCACGATCAGGACACGTGGCACCTCGGCTGACACATCGGCGTCACCTTGCCACGTGTTGGTACTCAGAAAATATATCCCCACATGTGTCATTGCTGATATTAAAATACACATTTAATTACTCTTTGTATATTTTCTGTCTCATTTTGTACGATGCTAGACAACAAAAGGGTGAGAGGATGACCATCACGATCCAAGTCCGCATCCAAATAACGATTGGAAGAGAAATGCGTTCATAATGGGGCGGGGAGGAAATGCTATCACTTTACATTATAACCTTTACTTTAATCTCCCCCCTTGTGGACCAAAAATTCTGACTCTTGCTCTTTGCATGTGGGCTTGTTTTACTCTTGTTGTCATTTTGCTGAAGAATCATTGATGTTGTTCTTGATTTTTTTTCCCCAAATCATCTTTCCAATCTTTTGATTAAAATTGGCTTAACCATTTCAATTGTACTACCTTTTACTCTTGGAGCATTTTTACGATCATAGTACAAATCAATTACAGAATCAAATGTAAAATATACATAAATAAACAAAAGGATTGTTTGGGGTGTCTAAATAAGTGCACTTTTTGACTCTTTAGACTAAAAAGTTGAGAAAAAAAATATGATTGTTTGGGTTAACTTTTTGACTTTTTATGAAAAAATGTGTATTAAAAAATTGTATAAATTAGTGTGTAGGAGAAGATTAGTAGTGTGAGTTGTACGGCTGTACTATCTGATCAGCTGAGTTGATGCTAAGAAATGATTGACTACTTTTCGGGCATTATAATAGACGGTGCTATTTGACCCGTGGGGGCCATCACGGGTTCCGTTTTGATAATCTGAACCATTCAATGTGTAGAACTCGTCGAGTACTATGTGCTTAAAAAACATCACGTTAATTGGATATCGATAGCTATCTGATTAGATTAGTTTTTTTTTCAACCGTTAATTATAACACCATCCATTTTTTTATACAAAACTAATTTGGTCATGTAATTAGTGATATCTGATCAATGTGATTTTTAAAAACATATAGTAATCGACGTGTTCTACACATTCAACGATTCAGATTATCAAAACGGGACCCGTGATGGCCCCCACGAGCCGAACAACAGTGTGTTAAAATTGCACCCCAACTGTGTAATTTTTCTTAAAAAATGCAGCCACATTGCACTGAACCGGACAGATCTGTCTTGTAATTTTGTGTGTAATATTAATTTTTTAATATTTTTTTGGTGAATAGTAATAATTTTTTAACTTTTTTAGTAACTTTTTAACTTTTTGTCTTTTTTTAGACATGCCAAACTTGGCCAAAATCTTATTAGTAAAATACTAGTTTTAAATAATCGTATTCATTCATATGCATATATTTTTTGTCTTATTTTGTGGCTGATTTTTATTTATAAACTTCTTAACACTATATTTGGTTGAGAGATTTAAAAATGAAAAGAGAAAAGAAAAATGTGTGTGAAACTATTTGAAATATAGATATACTAGTGTATGCTCGTGCTTAAATAAAATAAGTGAGCAAAAAAGAAAAAAAAAAGAAATAGGAAGGAAAATAAAAAAAAAGGGAAAAAAATAAAAAAGGAAAGAGGAAGGAACGATGGAGGGAGAGAGAGAGACTGCATGAGTGAAACAAAACGGGAGAAAAGAAGGTGAGTGGATGAGAATTAAAGAAATTGTAACTCCTACTAAATTTAAAAATTAATCTTAACCCTTAAAATAAAATGTATCTGTAAAACATTTTGATATATTTTTAAAAACACTTATACTTTATTATATAAATTTTATTAACATTTATCTTCATTGAAAAATTAATCTTAGCCCTCTACCATTGCTCTTTTTCATTGAAAAATATTTGAGGCCCTAATTCTGTGGCTCAAATGTGGCTCAAATGGCCAAAACGACGTCGTTTTGGCCATTTTGATGTTGTTTTGTACTCAAAACGACGTCGTTTTGGCCATTTGAGCCACATTTAAGCCACAGAATTTGGGCCCTCTACCATTGCTCTTTTTCATTCTTCATTTCCAAATTCATTTCTAAATTCTTCAATCAAACACACAGGATAAAGGGGGAATCTTACTTCATATCCGTGGCAAAAGAAGATGTCAGTGCGAGTGTCGTTTAGTTGAATATTCAAGTTGGGCAATTTTTTCTCAATCTCTATCCACACAAGGACAAAAAGCTCAACAGTGACTGTGTTTGTTTGCATCCATTTATTGGATTTGATACAGCTTATCTTCTAAGTCCTTTTTCATGGGAACAAACCTCATTCTTTCCTAACTTGCTTCTTTTACAGCCCACAACCCTCCAATAAGTGTGAGTCCCCAAAACAAAAATACTAACAATAATACAACTGTCACATCATTTTGATATATGGTAATTGTCTCCAGCTGACTTCCACTCTGTTATGATCATTTACATCAACCAATCCATTTAGCGGAATGCATAGCCGGACCGATGAAAGTGCCTTGTTAAAATGTTTTGCTTTGGTGCCAAGGTACTCGGTCCAAGTGACCGGCCGGTAGAGAGGAGGGTGGCTTGGGTCTACTAGTTTTGAGAGTGGTGAGATTTGAACATTAGTGGGTGGGCCATAGAGGTAGGCTATGGAGAGCCGATGTTGGGTCCGGTTCACCATAGCCCGGTGGAGGACACTCGGGTACAACCCGTTTGATAGTATGTGTAGGAGGTCCCCTATGTTGACCACGAGAGTACCGGGTTGTGGAGGAACCGTGACCCACCCGGCTCCCTCCCGGAGGACTTGCAAGCCGCTGGTGTTGTTCTGGTGGAGAATGGTGAGTAGGGTCGAGTCCGTGTGAGCAGCTAAACCCATGGCCCGATCCGGGTCAGGACATGCCGGGTAAGAATTTAGCTGTATGGCAGCACTAGCCCCTTTGAAATCTGCTTTTGGGCCGGCCCATTTGATATCCTCCTTGGTTATGCCCAATGATCCAAGCATTAGCCACATCAACCTCCCTGCAAGTTGCTGCATCACTTTCTCATACTCTTCAATTACATGACTGAAAAAAAAAAAAAAAAAAGAATTATTACATGGATCAGTGAAAAGAAAATGATAAACAGACACTGTATAATGAGATATAAAGATGCACACAACAAAAGTTGGATTTGATTTTCATTGGTAATGCTATCAATCCATATCTTTTTTGTGGGACATAGTTTTCAATTGTAATCTTTTATTATTTGCATCGAGAGATATGGGCATTTGGCTAAGTAAAAGATTATATGGTGTAAAAGAAATAATAATATTATATATATATATATATATATATTTAAACAATTAATCTATTGTTTAGATTCATTTTGTACGCGGTAAGGATTAATGAAGTTGGATTGTACATTGATATGTGAAGAAAATATAAAACAAATGCTAGGGAGTCTAATTTCAAATTTAAAAAATAATGTGTAGTGTAAATTTATTTTAAATATTACTCTTAATTAAATTCAGATTATGATTTTTTTTTGTTTTTGATAAATTTCAAAGTCTTCAGTTAGTGATATTATGAAAGTCACTTTCATGCATACGTGCATGAGTATGTAAGTTACATAAATTAATAAATTTAAATTATTGAAACTAGACTTATTTTAATAATATGTCACTTCAAAAATAAGAAACAAAAATTAATTTATATAGCGTTACTCATACCAGAATTGATTATGATCTTGGGGCCAAAGTTGGCGAGCATGTTCGAGTGGTGATCCAAAAATAGTGAACCCTTCAGACCACATGAGTTTGGGAAAGAAAGAAGAAATGCGAGCCACGCCATAGCCAGAGACACCATCAGGTGAGCGAGCTGCTTTTAGCTTCTGCTGAATCGGGAGAGAGAAAAGGCTCTTCCCAGCGGCTTCAATGCTGTTGAGAAGGCTATTTTTGACGCCATGGTTGGTGACTTGGAACACACCCCAAGTACTGCATGCATGACCTACAAGTTTTTGGGCATTCGGGTCGTCGAGATCAATAATCGGTACTGACCCGACACCACATGAGTCGGGTCCAGAGGGGTAATCGCCTAGTAGTGATGTCCATGCATGAGACTCTGGTAGTTCTTTTACTGAATTGAAGTCTAAATGTTTATGGTGAGAGGCATCAGGGACTCTTGAAGGCATAGTGGAATAGAGAGACTTGTGTTTAATGGTATTGGTAGTGATAGTAGGACTTCCTTATGAGAAGATTGTTTGTGTAATGTATAGTGTAGTAGATATATAGAATGACAAAGAAGATGAGGACAAGTTGCAGAGTGATCATTTGGTTTTGTACCACCATGTTAATTTTGATTTTTAAATAAGTCATGATTGGTTATATAAAATTAAAAAAAAAAAAGAAAAAAAGAAAAATCTTTTTGAAAGGGGTGGATCTCAGCAAGATAGAATTTCTAGTCTTACTAATTTTTTATGGAACCAATATTTTCTATCATACAAAAAATATTACAAAAATAATGTGCTAATATTATTTTTGTAAATAAAATCTATCAATGTGGGCATTAAATGATGACATTATATATGAAAATTCTATATGAACTTTTTGTTTGCCATTACTCAACAATAAATATTGATAATATACAAATATTGTAATATCTTTATTTCAAATAAACATAACCTCATAATTTAACAAATATCACTGTTATATTATTCTAGATGTATTTTTTATAAATAAAGAAATTGTTTATTAGTAATTATTTTGGAAAATAAATACTCAAAATCTAAACTATCATAGTCATCTTCAACCAATGAATAATTTTCCCAAGTTGGGGGTAATAGTGGGTTGGAGTGGAATCGGTTTTAATTTTTAGTGGTGTTGGGGAGAGTGTTGATAGAAGGGGACAGGAAATGATAGGAGGGTAATTGAATCGGACAAATGGAAACAAACCCAAAACAAAAAAGAAAAAGAAAAGTACCATCTTATCCTTCACAAAACGATAGTATAAATAAGAAAGCTAAAACATCCCATCCAACGTTTCAAAACCAATAACAGTAATGTGAGTAATTAAGAATGAGTAAATATCACATTAGTGAGAATATTGAAAAAATAATATAAATTAATGAAAATTTATATAAATATGAATAATTAAATTTGTAATTTTTTTATAAATTTATATGTGGTTTTTATTAATAAATCTATTTAGGAGTTTTCTAACCCAATAAGTCTATGAATGAAATTTATAACCTAATTAGTTCAATGTGTTTATACTTTTATTCCATCAGTTTTTTTTTTTTTGATTTACATTAATTATCGGACTATTTTCCCCTTATATTTATTATTGATATATATTACAAATAAAAAGAATACACATGTTTTTTTTTTTTTTTACTATCCTTCTGTTTTGACAGTTATTATAATTTACGCTTTTGATTGTGATTTAATTTCACTCTCATTGTGGTGTTACTTTGTTGTGCTAGGGTTTCGTTGGTATTGGAGGAACATGACGAATCAAGACTACATTAGTGTTGTTCGTTTATCCTCTATTTTTTTTTTTACATAATTTTGCGAAGTCAGACATTGATTAGAGAGAGAGAATGAGTAGATAATTTCGTCTAAAGGTTAGTATCATTTTATTTAGGGATGCACGTTCATTTACGTTTGAATTTACATAAAGAATTGTATGCTCTGTTTTTTGTTTTCAACTTCATTTTTTGGAATAAATGGAGATGCAAGTTTATTTTGTTGAATGGGATTGTAGTTTTTGTCTAGTAATGCGTTCATATAGGACTCTGTTTTTTGGATGTTGTGAATGTTCATATATTATTGGTTATTTCATTATGAGGGAATGTTTGCGTGTTGTTTGTTGTCATTATATTTTGTGGTATGAATTTAAACTTGTCTAATCTGTAATGATGGCAATAAAGTTTTCTGTTTAAGATCATCAATGCAAAATATGGACATAGTTATATTTTTTGCAAGAAATGAATGTTCAAATAATATTTAGTTATTTTGTGTTTGTGGTATTATGTGGTTATAATGTAGGTATTCACTTCCTTATTTTTATGGTTTTGCAACAGATGGATACCTTCATATATCGATGTGTGTATGCTTATTGGGTGAGTATTTCAGTGAATGTGAACATTCACATTCATGAAGTTATTATTGTTGTAGATTATCATATTTTAATATTTTACATTTTATGATGTGAACTTCAACATTAGATGCATGTGATGGTTGCATGACATACAATGTAGAGTAATGATTATATAGTTATTGCATAATGTGAATATTTACATATTACTAACTATTAATATTGTATGAGTTTTGCACGATTATTACATGATGTGAATATTCATATTGTGACGAGTCATTGCTTGTTGCGAATTATTACAGTGTAATGTGTTGCAATTGGTGTTGTGACCATCACATTATTAATTGTAGACACACCATTTTAACCGGTCCTGAGACTTGGACGCTTTCTTTTGATTACTCGATGATGACAATTAGACTGTGTTTCTCACAGAATCCTCATTAAGAAAAAGGGAATTTGAACTTTAATCTCAACTTTCACCATTATTGCCAAATTGTTTTAAAATACTAAATGTTTCATTAGTTTAGTATTTTTGTAATTTTGCATAATTTTATGTGTTTGTTCATATTTTTGGTGTTTTTATATAAATTGGTACAAATTATATATTCTATATATATAAAAGAAAATAAAAAAAAAATTATTATAATATTAAAATATGTGTTTAATATTATTATATTATATGTTTAATACTTTATGTAAATTATATATTTTAAATATTTTATGTATTATATTATATTATATTATATAATAAAAGAAAAATAATAAAAAAAATATATTGATGTCGGTTAGCCCTCGGCTGCCGACATCAACCTCAGCAAACATATATAAATATATATATAATCTTTATATACTTTATATTATATTATATATAGATATATATTATATAGATTTATATTATTATATTATTTATTTGTTGCCTATATAAAGCAATCAAATGGATAGATTTCAGGGGGGCAAAACAAAAACAAAACAAATTTGATTGAAGAGAGAGTTATAAAGAGTTAGAGAGAAAAGAGTGAAACCATTAACCATTTCAAACTTGAGTCAAAACACTTCCAAGCTTCCATAGCTACTGAAATTCCTCATTTCCATACACCAAACCATTCCAAAAATTCTGATATAGCCAAAGATCAATTGTCTTAATCATAAGGAAGAGTGTTTAGTAATTGAAAGTGAAAAAAATTAGAGAGTTAGCCACTTTTCGTACCATAAACTCCATAATTTCGAATTTAGGATTTGAGAACACACTTCCTACACTTGAGAGTGATCAAAAGGAAGTTTGAAAACTAAGAAGTTCATCCTTTCCTTGGAAGGTGAATTTCACAAACCTTTCATTTTCTTACATTTCTTATCTATTTTGCACTTTTGCTTTGATTTATTGTTGTATTTTATACTGTCGTAATCTAATTGAAAGTGGTGAATTGAAGTCCCATATATGTTATTTTTAGCACGAGACAGAGACCTTCCGTGCTGAATGATTTAATCTCTTCGGAGGGTCATTACTAGGGCATTACCTCTCTCTCTCATGCCAAGAACAACTTCTTGTTTGACGCTTCTCTTATTTTTAGTGGACATAACTCTCATTTTTGGACTAAAATGACTAAATAATGGCAAGGTAATTAAAAGTGATAATAAAATTGGACTAAAAGAGGCACAAGATAATAAAATTGAGTTGGGTTCAATCAGACGTCATATTAAACCCATTGTCTTTTTATTTCAACTTATTTTGCTCTTTTGCTTTGATTTCTTGTCATATTACATATTGTTGTAATCTAACTGAAAGTGGTGAGTTGAGACTCCCATAGATATTATTGTTGAAATCTATGAAAACAGAATTTGGCCGAGCCTATCGAGCTACCCAGCCCGTTAGTTGGCAGGGTAGCCACCTAAAAATACATCATTGCGCCTGCAACCTTCATGTCCATGCCTGTAACCTCTAGGCAAAATCGAGCAGCCTTCCGACAACCTCCGATGATCTTTGAGGCGCTTGAAGCTTCTATTTTATCATGTTTATTTCATTTTAAGTGTTTGTAATGATTTTTTTTTTTATATTATATTGTAATATTTATTCATCTCCCTCGGATTTGTAATATTTAAAATGCTGTAATAATTCTCTCGCCCCGCTTCTTTCTATCCCGTTCTTTTACTTGCTTTCTTTATGTGTGAATACACATCATATTTTGGCTTTCTTTATCTATGCTTTACATCCATGTTTCATGCATCTTGATTTGACTAAGTTTGCATTTGTGGATTTAATCAATTCCTATGTGATTATGTACGCTACCTCATGTTTTGAAATGATTCACATGTCATATCTTAGAAGTCGAATCTTTAGTTGCATCTTATAAGTGAATTGCATTAGGATTTTGTATATAAGATCATGCATGTTTTATTAATTTTGTTTTGTAACTGTTCAAGGGACGTCAATAAATATGTAAGTTTTTATACTTTAGCATCCCGGTTATGTGCGTTTTTCTTATTATGTTTAAGCATCCTACCATGTGACTACTTGCTTACTTGATATAACTGTATAAATGCTAGTGGATGGAGGTTGTGTCGCTTAATTTGGAATAGTGTTGATTTTCATGTTTGTAAACTCAATTTATTTGGATTTTACATCTCCAAAACTCTTTTAAAACTACATGAAATCAAATTATTCTAAAATAAATGACATAGTCTATACTTATATGCTTCATATAATAAATTTTAGGATTTATTGAATAATTGAAATACGAACATATAAAGTAAATAAAATTCATATCATGGTTTAGTAGAGGCCGATCTTTGATTGGGTGAGCGGGGGTGCTCATTATTGACCTTCTCCTCTCATACCTAAGGTTACGAGCCAAACAACTTTGATTATGACAAACAGTGGCCTTGGCATGAGTCATGGGTTTTCTAATTTTTTCAAAATAAATATTAAGTGACGACTCTGAGATCTGATGACGCAGTCCATTTCTGACAAAAAGGTTTTGCAATAAAATGTATTTTTTAAAAGTTGCCAAATTTGGACTTTCATATATGTTTCACATTACACTCGTAAGACTAGATCAAAGAGATCTCGGTAGTCCGAACTGTTTAACATGCGCGGGTACCCCTTGGGCATGTTACATTAATCAATGTTAATATTTACATTCAGAAACAGCCATACAAGCGCAAACAACATTAATGTGTTATTTTACTAACATATATTTATAATGTGAAAGTTCAGACCAACATTTATTTACCACAACTAACAT